TCTGCACCGCCTATATCTTCTTCGGGTCCACCTGAATACCCTTGCTGGACACCACATTTCCCAAGAAAGCCACTGAACCGAGCCAGAACTCACACTTGGAGAACTTTGCATAAAGCCTCTCCTCTCTCAATCTTTGCAATACAACCCGCAAATGTTGCGCGTGCTCCTCCTGACTACGCGAGAATACCAGAATATCATCAATGAACACTATCACAAATGAATCCAGATAAGGCCGAAATACACTGTTCATCAGATGCATGAATGCTGCTGGGGCATTGGTCAGCCCGAAAGACATGACAAGAAACTCATAGTGACCATATCTAGTCCTGAAAGCAGTCTTATGAATATCTGAATCTCTGATCTTCAACTGGTGATAACCCGAACGGAGATCAATCTTGGAAAACACCCTCGCTCCTTGAAGCTGGTCAAACAAATCATCAATGCGAGGCAGGGGATACTTGTTCTTAATTGTTACCTTGTTCAATTGCCTATAATCGATGCACATTCTCATTGTTCCATCCTTCTTTTTCACAAACAGAACTGGCGCACCCCAAGGTGACACACTAGGTCGGATGAACCCCTTATCCAGGAGCTCCTGAAGCTGCTCCTTCAATTCTTTCAACTCCACTGGTGCCATATGATATGGCGGAATAGAGATGGGCTGAGTGCCCGGCACCAGGTCAATACCAAAATCAATATCCCTGTCCGGTGGCATGCCCGGCAGGTCTGTAGGATACACATCGGGAAAATCCCTCACAACTGGGACAGAATCAGTGCTAGGAGTCTCAGCTTCAACATCCCTCACAAACGCCAAGTAGGAAAGACAACCCTTCCCAACCATACGCTGGGCCTTCACGAAGGAAATAACTTTACTAGGAACGTAATCAGTCACACCACGCCACTCGATCCGCGGTACACCCGGCATAGCCAAAGTGACTGTCTTAGCATGACAGTCTAGAATAGCATGACATGGAGACAACCAGTCCATGCCCAAGATAACATCGAAGTCCACCATGCTCAATAGCAATAAATCAACTCGGGTCTCCAGACCCCCAATAGTCACCAAACATGACCGGTACACATGGTCTACAATAATAGTATCGCCCACCGGGGTAGATACATGAACAGGTAAAGCAATAAACCCTCGGGACGTACTCAAATGATGAGAAAAATATGAAGACACATATGAATGGGTAGAACCAGGATCAAATAATACTGAGGCGTCTCTGTGGCAGACGTGGATCTGCACGCAAGGTGCCTGGATCTGCACGCAAGGTGCAGGGAGTAATGTGAATAGTCCGACCCAGTGAGTAATAAACATAAATAAAGGCTGAGAATAAGAAATCCTGAATAGGCACAAAGTAATTCTATAAATACATGATGTTCTACACGTCAATACCACACAAGAAGGGGGGGTGATTTGTGTGGTACCTAATTTTCTCACTAGAAGAACCTGGTTCTTCTAGATGTNGAACTGGCCCCTCGAAGGAGCACCACTGTAACTGCCCGATCCACGAGGCCTCTTAGCCTCCCTCTCCTCTCGCTCTCTACGGCGAATTGACTCGATCTCACGAGCGATATCCACCACTTCCTCAAAAGTAGCACCCAGTACTCTCTCTCTCTCTCTAGTCATCAAAATACGGAGATGGTAGTTAAGGCCATCCACAAATCTCCTAATCCTCTCACGATCTGACGGAACCATCCAAGTAGCATGACGGGCCAACTGTGAAAACCTCATCTCGTACTGAGTCACTGTCATATCCCCCTGTGTCAACCACTCAAACTGCCTACGCAGCTCCTCCCTGCGGGACTGAGGTACATACTTCTCCAGAAAGAGAGCGGAGAACTGCTGCCAAGTCAGAGGTGCTGCACCGGCAGGCCTACGCCTCTCAAAGTCCTCCCACCAAGTAAAAGCAGCCCACGTGAACTGAAAAGTAGTAAATGCCACACCACTCGACTCAAGGATCCCTACCGTACGGAGCATACGCTGACATCTGTCAAGAAAACCCTGGGCATCCTCGCCCTCAGCACCACCGAATGTCGGAGGCTGGAGCCTACCAAACCTCTCGAGATGACGCTGCTCATCGTCTGGCATAGCTGGAACCACGAAGCCCTGAGCTGGTGCAACCTGCTGAGCTGGAGGTGCCTCTGGTGTCTGTAGTCCCTGCACCACCTGCTCAGGTGTGCGAGCAATGGGGGTCTGATTGCCTCCCCCGGCCTGTGAAGTAGCTGCTGCTGCTGTGGTAACTGAAACTGCCTGAGCCAGGCCAGTGCAGACTGATAATATCTGTGCCAAGGTCTCCTGAAGACCCGGAATCACGATAGGCACAGTTGGTTCCTGAACAGGTGCTGCTGGAGTATCCACAGCTGGAGCCTGATCCTGAGCTGGGGCAATTGGTGGATCAGCAGGTGCTGCCCCGGCTGCTCTGCCTCTGCCACGACCACGACCACGACCGCGCCCACGGCCTTTGGCGGCCTCAGTAGGTGGCACTGGTGGTCGTCCATCACGTCCAGTAGCTCGTGTCCTCACCATCTGTGAGAGAATAGAATAGTAGAAGTTTAGTTCTCAGTTCAACAAAGCCGCACGACAAAAGTTTCAAGAATGTGAAGTTTTCCTAAAGGTTCGGCAGCCTCCCGAGGATAAGTACAGACGTCTCTGTACCGATCCACGAGACTCTACCAACCGGCTCATGACTCGCGAGACCAAGTAACCTAGGCTCTGATACCAACTTGTCACGACCGGAGTTGGGGTCGTGATAGAACACTACATCCGCCTCTGAGTACTTGTCTTATTTTTTGATTGATAATTCATTTTTAATGGATGATTACTCATAGTTATCAGCATGCAAATATTAAACTCTTATGGTAGTTAGCATGGTTTACAAATACCTAACTAATTTATACTATATTAAAAGCACAAAGAACTTTAACGAAATGTTGTTCGCCTTTTTTACTCTTTAAAAATAGCTTTCACAAATAGCTTCCAAATTAGACAAAATTATAATTTAAGTTATTCTCCTAATATTTAGGATTTTGCGATCAATCAAAACTTTCATATTAAATTTTTCTTTATTAAACTTGGTAAGAAGTTCTATTATTTGGGAATTAGAATTGATTAACATGTTACCTCATATAAATTATTCTAATTGACTATATCGTTGGTGCAATACTTATAAACCGAGATGAGAACGATTTTATATGGTGCCTTCAATTGATTTCTAATTAAATTAAAATATGAGGACGTATCATATTAAAATTAAAATTGCTTAATACAATAACGTCTAAAATAAAATTATTTCAACACGGAGCAATTAAATATGCAGTAAGAAAATTGTTGTTTTATTCCTACAAAAAAATAATAATCCATGTTCAGTTAAGCACCCAAAATGATTGTTTGATAGCATATTTAATCATACTAAATTGTACAAGCCTAAATTTATTATACTGTAAAAGCGCGAAACTTTTAAAGAAATATTAATTGAATTTTTATCCTTATATGTACAAGTATTTAGAACTTTAAAATGGATTGTATATAAGTAAATATTTAAATTAATATGTACATACACTCTCATTGAATTCAATATTTCAGAGTAATTTGGTCATCCTATTAAGTTTTATGTTTTAGTATTACTTTTTTTTCACACGTTTCGACAAAGTTATGTAAATCATTTTTTTTTAATTTCGGCAATTAAAACCTCACTACTTGGGTAACATTGAAACGTTTGAAGGGAGATAAATTGAGAAGATATAAGATTTAATTTTTTGATTTTAATTTTAATTTTTTTAAATATCATAATAAAAGTATAACTAATTAACCATATTTGTGTCTTCTCGAATGAACTTGAGAATAGCTTTTGAAAAATACTTTTAGGATTTTTTTCTTTTAAATCTTCAAGAACTATGTTGTTTTACTGAAAATAAAAAGGAAGCACAATAACTTGTGAAATTGAATTGATAAAATTATAATATTAGAACAAAATTTAAGGTGAATATATTAAATAATGATTGAGGACTTCTAAGAACAAAGGTTTTTCCTTTATTGAGTTAGCTATATGGGACCAATATTTATCAATTTCATAAGCTTACACTTTATTTTATAATTCAAACAAAATTTAAAAATATATGTAATTTTCTTACAAATAAGTTACTTATTAAGATAAGAAACACGCGCAACGCGCGTACAGTAAGACTAGTAATTTGAAAATATACGAGGTTGAATCGTGACTTGTTACGAATAGTAGAGTATCCTAGAGGGGTATTATATATAGAGGGGGGG